AAAAATTGCAATAATATCGTATCGTGGGATGTATGGTGATTCCCACCTCTACTGTCTAACAAATGATTAACCCTAAAACACTGACTCAGTTGCACAAAGCAGATTGTATTATCAGCTTCTTATTCTTCTCTTTCTGTCAGCAAAAACTCACAGCTCCGAATGAGTAATGAGGATGCAGTTGCTGTAACTGTATTTCTTTGGGCACGAGCATGTGGATCCTATGAAGCTGAACCTCAGCTCCTCTTAACGTTTGTTCCACCCAGGAACAGCCGACATTAACCTGAGTGTCACACAGACGGGTGAGACAGGCTTCCTCTTGCCTCTGGCAACTCAAGCACATGAAATCACAGAAAACAACCAATGATCAAGAACAATTAACTTGATTAACATTATTATGTATCAAACTACCAATCAGATTTATTTATCTATAAACTGAAGGTCCCAGGAACGCTACTCTGGATCGTTACAGTTAGCCTTTAGCAACGTGATGCTAGAAAAGCAAGCAAAGCGATTGGTGTCCAGGACAGCTAATTAGCTCAGACATTTCTCAAACATAGGGATCAGACGTCCACACTAAAACTTTATTCTGCAGACTTAGTATCCAACACATTACAAGGCCAGCTCTAAATCATTTGTATGTTTCTGTGTTCATCTCTAGGAACTGTGAAACAGACAACAATATTATACTGTAGCATATTAGTGCAGTCATCCAAACATATCAGGGCTGCACATCCTTGTAGCTTTATCAGGTAATCTTTTGACCCTTTTACATCCTCCAACCTTTTGGCTCGTGCACAAAACTTTACGTTCAAAAACACGTTCAAATGAGACACAGTTCTTTATATATTAACTCAATCTCACATCACATTTGTCTGCAGGCCTGCAGGTGGAAAATGCCCTCAGATGACTGATCAGATGAATGAGATAAAGCCCGTCTAAATGGGCCGTTTAAGTGAATTAGGCACGTCATGATCACAAGCACTACATGGATCGGACAATTAATTCCTCATATGTCAGTGCAAAGTAAAAGAACAAACTAAGTTAATTAGTAAAACGTTGAATTAGCTGATCAATTAACAGCTGTACTGTTTAAAATTTCACTAAAAGTTAATGACACAGCAAGCATGAAGTCCAATTCTAAGCCACATGGCAGCGCTGCCCTCTGCTGGATCGTGCTGCTCATTGCAAGTGTAGACAAGCTTCATGTATCAGCGCCACATGATGGTGCATTTTAAAGAGAGGACAGCAGCAATCTAATGAAACCAGGGAGGAGGTGCAGCCTTTGCTAAGTAGAAACGGCCCCGAAGAGCCGTCTCCGTAGCCGAGGAGCTCTCCATCGAGCGTAATTGTGTTAATGTGTGAGCTCGTGTTCAGATCAATGGCCACACAGTGGCACTTGTCTTTCCAAAAGTGCGCACGAAGCGAAGCAGACACAAATGTAATATCAGGCCGGGTTTAATGGAAGCAGCAGCATCAGATTGCAGCGACGCCCCTCTGACGCTGTGGTCCCCTACACTCACCCGAGGTGAAATCTCAGAAGCTCGATAAGAAGACGACAAAGGAAAATCCCAAATTTGACCGAATTTCTAAACGATTTCCTTTACTTTCACAGGGTTGATTTTACTACACAGATCTCATGACCAGTGAACAACTTGCAGATAATTGCTCCAGGGTACTTTGAGATCAATACTGTACCAACATAACCGTCAGTATTGGAAAGCTTGCTGCATCAATCTGCCTATAACAGAGAGCCATTTCCTGCCCCTACTCTTCTTTGTATGGACAGAGTTCAGGCTAGTAAGGCAGATATTTTCCTCTCATTGTCCTGTCCTGGAAAATTTGAGGCTTTTTTTCTGAAAAAACCAAAAAAAAAGCTGTACTGGAGCTGTTTATTGAAGTTTTTGTGAAATCGTTTTAGAGCCGTGAGTCTGAGTGGTTTGGGGGGAGTCTATGGATGTCCTCTGGGGAAACAAAGCCAAGCACCTCGCCCTGCATGTAATATCAGGACAGACCGCCTGCGATGGTAGAAGATGGTAAGGGGATGGTGGTCACAGGGTTCTCTTGAGTAGGTGGAGATAATGTAGGAGGGTGGGTAGATGTTTGCTAAATCTGTATGGCTGTATTTTACTGGGTTCTCTGGTCAGACGGTGGCAGAGATTTTGTCGGCTTCTCCTTCAGGATTTGTGATTTTTCACTTTAACTTATTATCAGTTCTTCAAAAATACAGACTAAGAGACTTGATCCAGAATTCGAAGGTAGGTGTTTGTTGACTTGTTTGCTCCTTTCCTGGGTGTGGACTCGTTTCCAGTGGGCAAAGAAGCCGTTTGTATTTTCTTTATAATTTCTGATTGCAGCATAAACGTCCTTGTTGTACTTTTGTGGATTTGTTGTGACACGCAGAGTGTTTTGCTTATTGCCGTATCTTGTAAATGTTCTACAATATCCTTAGTAACGTTCGTGTTTAGGAAAAAGACACATCCTCCCTTCCAGATTGATTTTTATTCCACATTGCTTCCATACAGTCGGCCAGGAAGTCATGCCAGGGAGCCCAGAGAACATCCCCCTGGGGGAGTGCACGCTGTCCCAGTCCAGGGACCAGCTCACGCCCCCGAGCCGCACGGAGAGCACCGTGTTCAGCCTGTCCCGCACCGAGTCAGTTTGGACTACGGAGAATTCCCCCAAGAAGTCTGACGTCTTTTGGTTCCCCATCCACCTCATGTCTACCGGGGGCAGCTTCCTGGCATGTGGCATCATCATCAGCGGCCTTTACTTCGCCGGCCACTGCCAGAAAGTCACCAACATCCTGGGACCAGCCCTGCTGTCCATTGGATTGATGGTTTTTGTGGTGGGCGTGGTCCTGATTCCTATTACCAAAGAGAACAGGAGGCGGTCGAAAATGAAGAAGCCCCTGAGTTATTATAGGCCTCCGGTGTTTAACCTGTGACGGCCGTGATGGTTTTCAGCACAACTTCATGTTTGGATGTAATTTCAGGAGATACGTGGAGAGCACTCTGAACTGAGGTTAATCTTTTCAGCTCTGTGGAAAATGATTAATAGACGACTGTTTGACAACAATTATGTTTATCTCTCTGGATTGACGACACTGTTGAAGTTTCTAGTGTGCATGATGTCATTTCATTAATAACAGCGGCTGTTGAAAATAGGATGAGAGCGCATGGACAGGAATGCGCTGCAGAAAATGCAATTATTTACACCTGCACAAACAATTTAGCAAAGTGTCCTTATGAATATTTGCAAAGAATAAAATAAAAAATTATGCAAAGACTGATCGTGTCAGTCGAAGTCACGACATCTTCTTATTGTCACTTTGTGTTTGTGCATGTGGCTGTGAGTGTTTGTTGAAAGGAACCACGAGGAAGGATGCTTTGAATCTAAATGTATTCATCCTTGAATTATGTAAAGCGTGACAATTTGACTGGTGTGACCTGAAAGCACATTTACATAAGATTTCAATATTAGGTAGCAGCCAATTTAAAGTAACCCCTTCACAGCCTGATTTTACTGTAATGTGCATTAAATATTAATTCCTTCTACCCACTGAAAATGCACTCTTTGGGCTAGCAGTGCAGATCAGATTTAAAGTAACGATAATCAATATTTGTGTATTTGCAAAGAATCGTATGACTGCTACAGAAAGGAATCACTGTTTGTAATGAATGAACAACGATTATCACCAAACGCCACGGTTCCCCTCGGCTCCGAGGAGCATTTTAGCCTCTTTAACTCCTTTGTTTGGGTTACTGTGTTGGTTCACCGACTGAGCAGCTTCAGAGGGAAAAGCTCCAACGACCTATGTGAACTCTTCCAGCGCAGCATTGTTCGCCACAGAGAGTCAGACACAAGCTGAGCGAACACAATAAAGTGTTTTGCAGCCATGAGGCGGGTTTCTAATGAGAGCAAAGCCAGAGGTAATGCAAGAGGAAATATTAGATTGAGACACGTGTGCAAATATCTGGTAACTCACTCAAATTTGTTCAGAATTAAAGTATTTAATTTATATGTATCATTACATTAAATTCGAATGCCTGCTCAGCTTAAATATTTTTTATTTAATATAACAACCACAGCAGATGTCAAATAATCAGAAGATGAAAATGTTAGAGAAACTCTGCAAACTTAAATATCTTTGCTAATTAAATATTCAATCTTTGCTTTATTTAATCAGGATTATTTCTATTTCAATACCGATGCTTCTACTCTGTGTTGAATTTGAAACAATATCTGTAATTATTGATCCAATGTTT